CCTTAGCCGGTTGAGCTATAGGCTCCAAGCCAGAAACAAGCTCTTGATCTGAGCTATCACTCACCCATTCTGTGCCACAGGACAAAGAATCCAGGCCCCAGGGAGAGCTGACTGCCTACTGAGGTCAGTCAGAAGAAATGTATAATAAACATCACAAGTTAGAATGGTAAAGCACAGGAGGATGCTATCACTAAATGCTTAAAATTCAAAATATCACACACTCATGAGGTTTTTTCTCCCTCAGATATTATTATAAGCTCAGACATTTATTAGAATTAAACATCAACATCATGAGAATTAATGAAAAAGGAATTACAGTAAGAGTGAGAAAATCCTCCACTCACAGCTTACACTAACTGACTATATGACTAGATACTTCCAATTGTTTTATCTTTTCCTAATTCGTAGATTTAAGATGATTACTGGAGATGTAGCAGATACATTTGGGCTAGATCTTTATACCCTTCCACCTCTGTTTGTTTAAAACCACATCTAAGGTGATGTGGTGTGAACTGAACAGAGAACAGAGCTTGCTTACTATGGAAAGCACAGAGATGTGACAACTTAAGAATTTTGTTTAAAGCTCATAAAAATCACAAAATGCCTTTTTACTAAATTAGATTTTTGTTAATATCAAATTGTCCTGCGAGGATGATTTATTGTTATTGTTAAGAAAACAGAAAAAAATCTTCGGAATTTAAACACATATGTATAACATTTTTATCATTTTTAATATGAGTTGCTAAATCTGCATAATATTTTTGTTGACAATTTTAATTTTTCCCCTAGAGGCACTCTGTGGGCTCAACATCTGGCCTGTTGTTATAGTCAAACTCTGAGATCCTGATTTATTGTCACTAAAAACAAAATTAGAGGTGAGTGTGGTAACTCATGCCTGTACTCCTAGCACTTTGGGAGGTGGAGGCAGGTGGATTGCTTGAGCTCATGAGTTCAAGACCAGCCTAAGCAAGAGCAAGATCCTGTCTCTACTAAAAATAGAAAAACTGCCCAGGCACCTGTAAGTCCCAGCTACTTGGGAGGCTGAGACAAGAGGATCACCTGAGCTCAAGAGATTGAGGTTCCTCTGAGCTATAATGATGCCATGACACTCTCCCCAGGGCAACAGATGAGACTCTGTCTCAAATAATTAAATAAATAAATAAAATAAGAGATGAAAGACTAATGAAAGAACCAGCCATTGCAGCAAACTGGATACCATTTTGGCATTTCCTCACCTTCCTCTGGCAGCCTTCTGTAGGACCTTCATTCCCACCAGGTTGTAGGACTTCCCTTCCAACTGTCTTCCCTTCAAGATGGAGGCCTCCAAGTGTACTTCACCAAACATTCTATCTTCTTGCACCAGAAGATAGACCCTGTAAAAAAGCATTCACATCAGCTCATTTTTTGTTTTATTTTGTAGAGATGAGATCTTGCTATGTTGCTAAGGCTAGTATTGAACTCCTGGGCTCAAGCAATCCTTCTGCTTCAGCCTCCCAAAGTGCTACGGTTACAAGCATGAGCCACCATGCTCAGGGCACATATGTTCTTTGAGGAGGCAGTTTGGGTTAATAAAGAAATCAAGATTTGGGCTGGGCACAGTGGCTCATGCCTGTAATCCGAGCACTCTGGGAGGTCTTGGTGGGTGTACTGCCTTAGCTCAGGATTTCGAGACCAGCCTCAGTGACAGTGAAATCCTCTTTCTACTAAAAATAGAAAAATTAGCTGGTGGTGGTGGTGTACACCTATAGTCCAGATACTTGGGAAACTAAGGTAAGAGGATTGCTTGAGCCCAAGAGTTTAAGGTTGCTGTGAGCTATGACACCATGCCACCCTAGCCTGGGGTAACAGTGAGACTGTCTCATAAACAAACAAACAAATAACAACAAAAAACCCCACCAGGATTCCTTCTCTTTTATTTCAAATCCACTGTAATCATCTTCCTAAATAGATGATTCAGGGTAAATAAAGTTGAATTCAAGCACACACTTTTTGGATTTCTACATGCAGATTATCATTATCTACAAAATACAGGTGATATCTCTTCTGGCATGAAACTAAACCCTAAATCCTAAGCCAAATGTGGTTGAAAAGCACATAATAATGACCAGTCTCTTAAACCAAACATACTATCACTGCCCAGAAATAGGATGCCCCCCCTTTCCCATTTTATCCTGTTTCTCATAAGGAAACATTTGTATTCTGCATGGATGCTCAATATTGAGAAAAGCTTCAGAGTAACATGATATGAACAGCAGTAAGGGGCTTTCTCTGAGAAGGTACATGTTTACAGACTTGCATATTGCAGCAGGGTAAATCACTGTCTCAACTTGCAGTAACACAGACATGATGGATATCCAGTGACATGATGGAATTCCTCCAGTTTTTAAGTGCTATATTCATCAAAGTCTATTTATGACTGAATTCCCAATCCTGCCACTTCATAAATTCAGGTAAATGAAGTTTTATTTGTCACAAAATGACACAGTCTCAGAAAATATTTTGTGGAGTCTGTTAGTCAGAAAACAATACCATAAAATAGACTATGGGACATAAAATTATATTAAAGGTAAGAATATAAAGGAAAGTACATGTTGAAAAAGAACAGATGACAAACAACGAACAAAGGAAAGTTAAATCTGAAGCCAGGAGCCTTAAGCACTGGCTTGGGAGAAGGGACAAGAACTTTAGACTCCTTGATGAATTCTTCCAGTCCATCAGACCTCATGGTTTGCAAGAGAAGCAAAGATCTATTGTGTCTGAAAAGAAAGTACCTTTCATTGGATTGCTAGTCTGTCACAGAGTGAGGTCAAATAAAAATCATCAAACACAAGAAACAATCTATTATATGGGGGAAAGTCTGAAGAAATAACAATAGACCAGCTAAGGACTTGAGATGTTAGAATTACATGAAATATAGAAAAACTATTTTAAAAAGGTAAAGTTCCCAACATAAAAACAGGAGACAAGAAACTATACAAAGTGACTTGGCAGACCTAAAGAAGAATGAAATAAAACTTTCAAAAAGAAAAGAGATAATCTATTGCAATAAAAAAAATCATTGAATGGGTGTAACAAATGGCTATATTTAATTCTGGAGTGTGTATATAAAATATGGGTTATAAATTTGAATAAATTACCTAGAAAGTAGCTTAAGAGCTGAGAGAGAAAAACAAGAGAAAAGGGTGGAGAAATACACAGGACAAAATGAGAAGGTCTAATGTATATCTAATAGGAATCCCAGAAAAAAAAAGATAGAGGAAAGAGAAGAGGTAGATATAGGAACAGAATTCTTCTCAAGTGATCTAAGATATAGGAAGAAAACCAGATACCAAGCAGAACAGCTATAAGAAACCCATTTGAATACACATACTCTAATAAAATGAGAGAATACCAAAGATGAAAAGATTTTAAAAGCAAGAATCACAAACTGAGAAGATCTAAAAAGAATATTTACAAGGGAATACGAAGCCAGTTTGTTGTATTTCAAACTGTATGTAAAACGAGCACATTGTACCCAATAAATGCATTATTGTACACAGCTATGATTCAATAAAAAAAAAGAATTCTGATGTGAAAAAAAATTTGATTTATATCAATCTTCTCAAGAGCAATGAATGAAGCCAGCAAACAGTGAAATGTTTTCAGAATTCTGAAGCTATAGGACTGTGCACCAGCAAAACCATTTTCTTTCTTTCTTTTTTTTTTTTTTGTGTGTGAGACAGAGCCTCAAGCTGTTGCCCTGGGTAGAGTGCTGTGGCATCACAACTCACAGCAACCTCCAACAGCAAAACCATTTTCAAGAATGATGGTAAAATTTTTAAACAAAGGAAAACCAGGAGCATTTTCCACCTACAGAGCCTGAAGTATTTAGTAAGATCTATTAACTTACTAATTACTAAAATGATTTCTAAATGATGTACTTTAGGAAGAAGGAAATTATCCTGAAATGGAGATCAGAGCTACATTAAGGCCCAGTGAGCAAAAATATAAACAAATCAAACATGGTAGACTAAAATAGCAATACAACCAAAATTGCATTGTGCCATTAATTTATACAAATAAAAAAAAAGGAAATCACAGTGCAAAAACGGACAATATTTTGAACTAGATGATGATAATACCACATGTCAAAACTCATGGATATTAAGATGATGCGTTAGGGAATTTGTAGCTTTAAATATAATAAACATAATGACTTTTCCTTTCTATATACGTTTTGATGCAGTTTGGATGGGGCGGGGTTCAAACCGGCAACCCTCGGTATATGAGGCTGTCGCCCTATTCACTGAGCCATAGGCTCCGCCCCCCCATATGTTTCTTAGTTAACTTCAATTCAGTAAGTCATATCTAGCTAGTTTCCTGAAGAGGGGAGAATGGAAAGTACATTTTTTTTCAAACCATTCATAGATTCCTACACTGGAACTAATTTTCCCACTCAGAGTTCAATCATGTTTTGTTTCCTCCCTTCTCTCCCAGAGCTGAGGTCTGTTTTAGTTTCCAATATGCTACGTGAGAGTAGGAATAAAAGTATACACTTTTAATGTTGAATTTATATTATTTTTGTCTATAGACCATTTAAAGGTCTCCTCACCCATGAACTGCCTCCTCCCCTGACTTGCCTGGCTATTCTCTGTCTAAAGAGGGAGGTCAAGGCAGGGTCACAGAGGGGACCAGGCTGCATTTTCTGAGAGGAAGCCTTAGGCTCTCCTGTACGAGGACAAGGTCCCAGTAGCCTTTAAGTTTGGTCTGACATTTCCCTAATTCTCAAATAACCAAGGAAGTGTGCTCTTGCCTATTCTGTCACGTTAGTTATGACTGTCACCCTTCACCTTGCCGCGTTCATGCCCAGCCACACACACTCAACCACCCTGTCCTTCCTTGCAGCTGTGGTTCAGTGGCAGGCTGGCACAGGCCCAAGGTAGAGTCATTACTGCCAACAGTACAGCTGGATTAAAACTGTGGCATTTCATAGACAGCCCAAACCAGAATTGGCTCATCAGCGACTCCACTGAATTCCACCCACTTGTCAATGTTTCCTGCTCAGTGCAACACTGTCTCCTAAAATCAGCAGTAGTGTGACAGGCCTGAGTAGAAATGGGCCCCATGGTCAACTTGCTCTTCCTGAACCATCAGATATTTACTACAAACTCTAGGCCTGAGTAGAAATGGGCCCTGTGATCAACTTGCTTTTCCTGAACCACCAGATATTACCACAAACTCTATCATAGTCAGTGGAACACAAGCAGCTTCCCAGGGAGGCAGCATCATGTTAATAACTCTGAATCTTGCAAAAGTTGCCTACCTGTATGAGCTTGAATTTACTCATTTCAACATAGGAAAAAGAGAACCTAACTTCTAGAGCTGCTGTGAGCATTATGGTGACTCATACTATATAGAGTTTGGCACAGTGATCAGTAGATACAGCTTTCCTTAGGGGAATATTTTGATCAATTTTTATAATAAAATTTTATAATTTCCTCCATATAATTTTTGTACATGTTTTGTTAGGTTTCTTCTAAGACTGCCTATGGTTTTGTGTGCTATTTTAAATGGTATTTTTGTTTGTTGCTGTGTTTTGGTCTATAGAATCACAACTGACATGTATATGGAACTTTTATAATCTATTGACCATCATATTTTATTATTTATAAATCTTTTTATGTAGTTGTATCTAATCATTTCATAATTCCAATTTTGCTTCTTCATTACCAATCTTTATACTTTGTAATTATTTTCTTTCCTGACTGCCTTTTAGGACCTTTAAGATAATAATAAAGAGAAGCCAGTGGCTTTCAGCATCCTTATCTTGCTCTTGTTTTGAAGGAAATGCCTTTAATGTTTATAGTTAAGAATGTTTCCTATGGTTTATTTTGGTAGATATGAACTATATCTACTATATTCATCCAGGTAGGGATTCCTAGTTTGCTAAGAAATTTTGTATTAAGAATGAGTATTGAGTCTCGTCAAATACATTTTCTGTATTAGTTGAAATGATTACAGTAGAACCTCCATTGTTGACCACCTCCCACACTGATCCCTTCCTTAAGTTGACCTAATTCTCATGGACCAGACATGTACCACATGTGCCTATTAGTACCCCCATAGGCCTACCTCCCTATGTTGACCAGTTTGTTACAGTCCTTTGGGTGGTCAAGTTACAGAGATTCTACTGGCTATATTTCTCTCCACTTAATTTTGTTAATGTGGTAAATGATCACAAATTCTTTCCAAGTGTTAAAATAATTTTTCACTTCTGATGTAAAAGTGAAGATCTTACGTGCTATGATTTATTTATGTTTATGATTGATATTGACCTTTATTTTTCATTTAGTATCGAGATCATTTATGTCTGCTTCATAGAATGAATTGATGAAGATTACATTTTTTCTTTGAAAAATTAAAAATAAAAAATTCAAATACAACATCTAAGTGATCTGTATTTTAACAATTTGGAAGAATTTGGTAATAAAATAATTTGGTTTTAGTGCTTTTTTTTTCTGAAAAGAATTTAAACTACCAACTCAATGTCTCTAATGATAAGTGAACTTCTTGAGCTTTCTAATTATTTTCTTCAGACATTTTAGAAACTTTCTCTAGGAATTTTTCCATTTTGTCTAAGTTTTCAAATTTATTAACATAAAGATGCTATAGTACTTTCTTATTGTGTTTCTTTTTTTCTAAGTTGTATTAATTTCACAAAAAAATACAGAGTACTTCACAAATGAGAGTGTCATCCTTACACAGGGCCATGCCAGACTACTCAGTATTGTTTTAATTTTAGTCTATGTGCTGCCAGTGTAAACTCATCTTACTAAGTCTCTAATCCTGATGGAGCTAATGTCTCTATTTTTCTTTTTATTTTATCTTTTTTTTTTTTTTTGAGATAGACCCTTACTTGGTCACCCTTGGTAGAATGCCATCATGTCACAGCTCACAGCAACCTCAAACTCTTGGGTTCAAGTGATCCTCTTGCCTCAGCCTCCCAAGTAGCTGGGACTATAAGCACCCACAGCAGCACTGGGCTATGTTTTAGAAATGGTCTCACTCTGGCTCAGACTGGTCTCGAACCTGTGAGCTCAGGCAATCCACCTGCCTCAGCCTCCCAAGTGCTTGGATTATAGGCACGAGACACCATGTCTGGCCTATTTTATCTTTTCTTTATTAATTTTCCTTGATTTTATAGAAAATGTCTTTAGTGTTTACAGTTAAGAATCCACACACACACATGCCTGAATAAGGAAGAATTTATTTATTAATTACTTTTTTTAGAGATGGGATCTTGCTCTGTCCCCAGGCTGGAGTGCAGCGGTGTGATCACAGCTCTCTGCAGCCTCAAACACCTGGGCTCAAGCAAACCTCTTGCATTATCCTCCCAAGTAGCTGGAATTACAGGTGTGGACCAGCATGCTTGGAAATTTTTTTTTTGTTTATAAAGTAGTTTCTCTATGTTTCCTAGGCTGGTCTTGAACTCCTGGCCTCAAGGAATTTTCCTGCTTTGGTCTCCCAAAGTGCCAGGATAATAGGCATGAGCTACCATGGTTGGCTATATATTTTTGTTTGCACTAAGGTGAGAGAGAATGTGTTCTCTAATAATGATTCTTTTAAATTTGTAGAGACTGTTTTCTGGCCTAGTACATAATCAATTCTTGTGAATGTTACATGTGAGAAGAATGTGTGTGCTCTAACAGGAAGAGAGAGTTTTGTATGTGACATGTAAGTCAAATTAGTTAAGGACTTTTCAAATTTTCTTTACTAACTTTTTGGTCTGCTTCACTGGTCAGTTATTTCACTAGTTAAATATGGCTGCATAACTAGTTACTGCACAAATTAAAAGCTTAGAATAACAAATATTAAATCTTTCACAGTGTTATGTGGGTTAGAGATTCATCACACTGATAGCATGTGTTGAGTGCCAGACACTGTTCTATTTGCATTAAGAGCTTGGTTATAATTATCCTCATTATAGGAGACTTCTATATTATACATAAAAGACTGAAAAGCAGAAAGGTTTACCATATTGCTCAACATCATGCAATAATAAATAAGGAACTCAGCTCAGCGCCTGAGGCTCAAGTGGCTAAGGCGCCAGCCACATACACCTAAGGTGGCAGGTTCGAATCCAGCCCGGACCCGCCAAACAAGAATGACAGCTGCAACCAAAAAATAGCCGGGCATTGTGGCAAGTGCCTGTGGTCCCAGCTACTTGGGAGGCTGAGGCAGGAGACTCGCTTGAGCCCAGGAGTTAGAGGTTGCTGTGAACTGTGAAGCCATGGCACTCTACCCAGGGGGATAGCTTGAGGCTCTGTCTCAAAAAAAATAAATAAATAAGAAACCGTAAAAATGAAATGAATACATAAGCATATTTGACACAAATATCTTTTTAAGTTTACAAAGTGGGAGATTATCAGCCTAATTTCTGAAGCTAAACTTCCATCAGAGTTCAAGTGTAGGTGCAATTGATCTATGCATTGCTGTAGTTAGCAATAAGGAAAAGACTTTCAGCCCAATGCACTGTGGACTAAAAGAATCCTGTATGTTGAAGGAATATTTTATGTCCCTATTGTCTAATATAGTAGCTGCTTGTAACCACTGAGTGCTAAAGATATGGCTAATGTAACAGAGGGACAGAATTTTTAATTTTTAACTAATTTTAATTAGCTCAAATACAAATAACTACATGACTAGTGGCCACCCTATTGGACAGCATAGTCTAAAGGCATAAGGAATAAAGGAACTGGCTAGGTTCAGCAGCTCACTCTTAGAATCCCAGAACTCTGGGAGGCTAAGATGGGTGGATTGCTTGAGCTCAGGATTTCCAGACCAACCTGAGCAAAAGTGAGACCCCATCTCTATTAAAAATAGAAAAAATTAGGGCAGCACCAAAGGCCCATATGCCAGAGGTGGTGGGGTCAAGCCCAGCCCTGGCCAAAAACTGCCAAACAACAACAACAACAACAACAACAACAAAAAACCCAAAACAAAACAAAATAGAAAAAACTAACCAGGCATTGTCCCAGTTACTCAGGAGACTGAAGCAAGAGTATAGGCAAAACGCCTATATGCCTCTGTCCAAAAAGGCCATTTGAGAGAGAGCAGTGAAAAGACTTTGTGCATGCATACTTGTGAGAAACTGAGGGGGAATCCCATGTGGCCAGGTTGGTTGTGGGCCTAACATGACCAAGGCTTTGGCTGGAATAGCATTTCCAGATTGCATTAAAGAATTAAGGTTGACTTTATAAGGCCAATGAAAAAGCCCTTTGGAAACTGGCCAGATACCCATCAGTAACCTTTCCTGATCTGTGGTAAGTGACAAAGGTCACTTGCTAGGAATGGAGTAACCTTTCCTGATCTGTGGTAAGTGACGAAGGTTGCTTGCTGACAGGTCCAGGAATGGTAATGTGTTAGGGGACCTCAAGAGAAGAGGAATTTACCCAATACATACAGGTGTCTAATGGCACAGATGAAACCTGGGCTCATGAAAGGCTTTTAAGAAGTCTAGCCTGAGAATTTCTTATAAAAG